TCTATTGAAGACTAATGTATTGCCTCTTCACAGAAGGTTAATAATGTATATGCACTTCAATGACATCTGAGGTACAGATTCTCCATTTTGACAGTGTTGAAAGTGATTAAAAAAAGAGAATGTATTAAATCACACCATTAAAATTATACTGGCCAAAATTTTAAATTGCAAATTTTAAAGTATAAACACCATGAGACCAGAGAAAAGAGAGCCTGGCAGTTGTATAAATCATGTGTGATACTAAAATACTAAAAATCATATTGATACTGATATTTTGAGCGTAGAAAACTAACAAAGTTTTACATTTAACAAACTTAATACTGTGATATTACTGTTCGATTTGTCTTTTACAAAAAGTTCACATAATTAAAATTAATCCCAAGTTCATGATTTGACAAAATTACCTTGATATGTTGATTATTAACCAGTAAACTGAAAATAATCAGCTAAATCATAATCTGAAATGTGGACAGGATTTCCCTGAGGGACGTCCCAACAAACTTATTGGTGTTGTCCCATACAGAATCAAGAATTAAGAATCAAACTCCTAGATGTTAGACTGGAACAAAACGCAATGATTCTAGTCTACTGTAAAATACTTTATTTATCTGGAATTAATTTTCGCTGAAAAGACATTTTTGGTTCTTTGCATGCAATTTGTTGTTGAATGTAAAATATAGGAAAAAAGATATATTCACTGGATTTTAATTTCACTGAATAATTCCTTCAGAGAAAATAGCGAAAATTAATTCCAAGCAAAAATAAAGTATTCTACGAATTACAGACTCCACACAAATAAAGTGACAGGAACACAATGCAAAATTACTCACAATAAAAACACTTATATAATTACAAATATGAAAGAATAAAAAAATAACTATTACAAAATCAGAAAGCTCTTGATAATTTGAAATCAAATAGTAACAAAGTTTGTTAATTTTATTATTTATAGATTAAAAATGTCATTATGAAAAATTAGAAATTTACAATAATTATTATTAAAATTCAATTTCAAGACAATTAAAAGCACCCAGTTTTACAACTATATTTGGAAAATTTAAGGAGAATTTTTGTGCTGCAGTACTCATGTAGCTATACCGGTAAATCATGATTCAATGTGTATATAATTAAAAACTTACAGTAACTGGTTAATAATTAACCTAACTATCCACAATATATAATAACACTATGTATATAAGCCTCAACTGAGCTTGCATCAATTTAAAGAAAGTTGTTTCCATAAAAATGAACAAATAGTACTGGAAAGTTACATATACAAATTAAAACCGAACTTAACATTGTTACATACAATGACTTTTTCCTCTAATACTTGTATATGTAGCTAGGGTACTATTGTATTAACTTTAGTGTTAACCCACTTATCATACAGATCTATGTCTGTGTATTACATGATATGTAATTTAATTTGCCCAAATTTCATTATAATAGTAAATATTATTTATACTTTCACTGTAGCTAGATCAAATTAAAACAGCTAAGTGCCCATATTACTTAAAACTAAAAATCAGACATTTTCAAAGTGTTTTTTTTGTTGAAAACATTGATAAGTACAGGCAGTTACTATAGATTCTATTTGTGTCACATGTGAGATGTCAAAACAGTCGCTTTGTGTTTAAATATAGATGCCAAATCATTAATCTTTTCACCACCAAACTTTTTGGCCCAAATTTTCCTGCACTTTTTTCTTATATTCTTCAATATTTCTAGAAATTAACGCTAATTTTGAAGCCAGCAGTGAAAATTTGTGTCAATTTTCAGTTTTTTACACACAAAAAATTTGGCTCTTTTTGTTCCAATCTTCTGAAAGAAAGTGCAGAGCATAAACAAAACCACTTTGTGAATTTGTGATGAAAAGAGGGAATTGGTGGTGAAAAAGTTTAATAAAGGCAATTTTTCTGATGCAAACATATTGCAGAAATAGTCAGAACAATTTGGCTTCAGGATGTCTACCTTACTGGTAATAATTTAGAAATCACATATTTCTGTTTTGGAAAAACAGTTTACCCGGTAATTACATTATGATTGCCGGTAGATTAATGTATACAAACTATGATACCTGTCTGAATACTCATGCTACTGTGCAAAATATTATGGTATACACCACACCAGGTGAGTTATCTGACTGCATAGGCTGAATAGTTGCACGATCTGATCATGGAAGTTTCAGATCTCTTTAACATAGGTTTCGGGGAATATCCCGACAGCACCATTGAGTTCACCACGCCACCATCCACCAGTTTGTTTTTCATAAACGTTGATTATGTCACCTACAAAACAAGACCCATATGTTTACAAGATATGTTTTGGGTACTGTTATGGCTCAAAGGACAATAGCATACGTTTACATGACTTAATAAAACTGTAATGGGCTCTGGGAGCAAACGCATCAAGTTTATGAGACCTTTGGCACTGTAATGAACGCTGGGGCAATAGTATATGTTTACAAGACCTAGAGTACTGTAATGATCTTTACATATCTCAGGGAAACTGAAATGGGCCCTGAGGGAAACAGCATATGTTTGGGGTACTTTAATGGGCTTTGGGGGCAATAGCACATTGTTTTCATTTGTTTGGGGGTACTGTAATAGGCCTTGAGGGCAAGAGAACATTGTTTATATATGTTTGGGGTACTGTAATGGGATTTCAGGGCAATAGTACATGTTTTATACAGGGTAATGTAATTGCCATCATAATGGAAATAGTTGACAATGGTAGAGATATAATAATTTCTGTCTAATCTCAAGCGCCTATGTATTAACCAATCAGTAATCAGTTATTATAAACCTACCTTCCATTATAGCAATCTCATCACTATCATTAGGAGTGTAATCATATAGAGCCTGACATCGACAAATGGTCTCATCAAATTCATCTGAGAAATATAAATAATATTTTCAATTTTGTTAAATTACACAAAAAACATCAATAATACCGGTAATTTTAATAAAAATTTTCCCAATTTATTGTTCGAAACGCAGTAACACACATTATTAATTCCTTTTTTCAAGCTTTTTCTAATATTTGGCAGTAGACAAATATGGTTTACCTTTTTCATAAGGAGTATAATGACTTGAAGCATTATTTGCCCCTTCAGCTTCAGGTCTATATGCTGCCATATCACCGCTACCACCACAGGCACCCCCAGTAATGGGGATATTCAACACACTCTGTTGAAGCCCCTGCGATTAAATAAAATATTAAAGAGAAATCTAGATTTTTGGATTAAATGCACTATTCTAAATTTGAATGAAAACAAAAATCAATAATGTTTGAATATACAGACTGATGGGTACAGAATTATAGAATTAATAAAATTCACATAATGTGTACAAAAAGTTTAGTTTTTTGCTGCTGAAGGATTCTATTGCATTCTGTGTTGTAGGACCCCTAATAAAAATTCACTGCCTCACAAAATACATGAAAATTTGTCTAATACGAAATAAATGCAATTAGCAGTAGAGTGAAGACACTAGAGAATACAGGGACAGGTAACAGTGGTGAACATATCATAAAATGAAATAGAGAAAACAAAAACATGTCTTTGCTATGCACATAAAACCAGTAGGTTGGGAATGTATATGAAATGTAGTACCTAAACTACAGCATGTCTTTTAAAGTGGGTGACATAATCTACTTGAAAAGTGCGATATGCTGGTTGTGAATTCACACGCACCTAGATGTCTACGTAATAATGCACGACACACCAAGAGACGTTACATAGAACATCATTTTAAAATTTGTCCATTCAACATATGTATATGTCATACACTTACAGATTTGTCTTTATAACTTGTGATATAGGAACTGAGTCTGCTTTCTGGTTTTGCTCTTTTATCCATCAATGCCAAGGAACACTGTAATTGGTACTGACATGCAGTCAATGTGTCAATCATTGCCGATGCCTACAAAATAAACACACGATATTGTTAGGTGTATACAATGCTAAATATGGTATTTGAAAATGTTATCTCATTTGGCATTTGGCAGGCGACAGTTCTGGACATTTAGTGTCACTTTTGTCTCTCCTGACTTTTTTTCTGTATGTGCAAATTGCAAGTGCTAGTGCTAGTGCTATTTTGCCACAGAAGTCATATTCATTAAAAAATATGGCTGCTGTGACATCAGGCACACATTTGTTGATGCTATTACCTATATAACAATTTATAGTGCTTGAATTTATTGAATGAAAATCCATAAAAATAAGCTATGCATGGCATAGTCCCCGAAAAAACAAAATGATTTACATCAGGGAGCTATAATGTCTAATATATGTACTAAGTTTGAACAAAACCCATCTGTAAACAGTCGAGAAATGCTGATGATTTTTCAGTACAAAAATGGCTGCCATTCAGCCATCTTAAATCGGATCGTGAAACAAACTGATGTGCATTATTATGTGCATGTATATTATCATGTATGATGTATGGTAAAAGCATTATAATACTTCCAAAATGGCAACTATTCACAAAAATACAAACATCTTTTTTTTTGAAAAAAATTAGGCTGGTGACCTCAGTATCATAACAATTAGCAAGTCTACAACAAGTCATTATACTTAGAGCACATTTTATTGCAAAATGAATACATTCTTAGTATTTTCATTCATGAGTTGGCTTCTACCTTTAGGTAAGTTGTAAGTCACATGACAAGACTGTAACATACCTGCTGTATTTGTAACTCTGTGTCCTCGGCACCAGCGGCATTAGTGTATGCTGGATTAGCTTTGTAAGTATCACCTAAACTTTCAATACCTATAAACAGAATAAAATATCAAAACTTGAATATAATATTACATGTGTGGCTTTGTAAATTGTTTCTGAGTGACATGTACATGTGAATGATGTTGAAATTAAATAAAAATATCTTGTAAAAGGCTTTATGCATGACCCCCAATAGTCACACCTCCTGCTATTTTTGGAGTATTTTTGGCAACAATTATTACTGTAAAATATTTTATTTTCGCTATTTTCGCTGAAGGAATGATTCAGTGAAAATAAAATCCAGTGAATATACTTTTTTTCCTATATTTTACATTCAACTCATCAAAAATCAGTGAAAATAAAATCCACACAAAACACCCAAAAAGTCTTTTCAGCGAAAATTAATTCCAGCTAAAATAAAGTATTTTACAGTATATGTAATTCTTATTAACAGTATTGAACTTCAATTGCTTGCAATTTAAGAAAAATAAATTGGAAAATCTTAATTGATATTGCATCGGTACCCCCAGAAATTACAATACAAAATTAATTAAACTACCTTCTTTCCCTTTCTTCTGTTTTTCAATTTCCACTGCAAGCAGTTGAATCTTTTTCTCCAAACCCATTTGTCTTCTTTCTGGCTTCATTTTATTACTAAGGTCAGCTTCAAAACAGTCATATAAAAACTGTCCAGACGTAACGGCTCCAGTTCCTTTTTCGGCCACAATAACAAGGATGTCAGATTGCACATTCATCTGAGACACACCCCTTGCAATCCCAGCACAAGACTACGGTACGTATGCAAAGAGAACAATTACTAAATAAGTTACATATATATACCTCTGTATTGATAAACAGAAATTATTTTGAATACTGTGGAATACTTTATTTTCGCTGGAATTAATTTTCGCTGAAAAGGCTTTTTGGGCGTTTTGTATGGAATTTATTTTTACTGATTTTTGATGAGTTTAATGCGAAATATAGGGAAAAAAGTATATTCGGTTGATTTAATTTTCACGGAATCATCCCTTCAGCGAAAATAGCGAAAATAAATTCCAAGCGAAAATAAAGTATTCTACAGTAATTGCTATTTTAAAGAGACTAAAGTGCAATTAATGTGTTGTCAGGAGCTTCACATGGAACTGTGAGGTTAAAGGTTACTGTGTAGTGCATGGTGGTTCATTTGCATAATAACATCTTATTCCATACGAGAAATTTTTGTTTATTTTTTTTTTTACAGTTCAATTTTTGGTACTTTTGCATTTGAACTTGATGAAAACATACTCTCCACAAAAACTGTGCATGATTCTATTGAGAGGTTGCATATTTGATTTCAGTTAAAATACAATGAAGTGCCGCTAAAACAAGTGGCTAATCAGAATTGTCCCAGAATATTGCAATGTTTATCGACAAAACAGATGTCAAATTGCCGAAGAGGGGACACCCTAATACATGTTCGCTCAAAGAATCTTTCTAAGTATAGTGGTGTGGGGATGGCTGAATAAACAAACCTTGGCTGCCAAATAAGGGCATTTCTGTGACTGATTATTGAAAAAGTGCCATACTCATGTGCAGTTGTCACTTTTTTTTCCCATGTGATGTACGTATAGAGAGTGAAACATTTGAATAACACTATACACAACAGCTGTGTATTAGGTCTAAAAATATCTACCCCCATAATGCATCATTGTATCCTTAGTGGATTTCAATTTGAATTCAGCTTAATTTACATTACCCAGTAATTACACGCAAGATTTACGTACCTCTGTGAGTTTGGGTCCAACATGTGACATAAGACTATTATATTTTGTTAACATTTCATGTAAGTGTCGTAATCGTTGGTCTTCTTGTGACTGCATTTGCATTGCGTATCTCCTCATGTGTTTCTCCAAATCATGTCTGGCTTCCTCCACTTGTTTTGTAAGTCCAATGTAATCCATGTCGGCTTTTAGTGATGACTCTTCTGATTTTTTTATTTTGTTTTGCAACTGATGAATATAGAAATGAATATAGAACATGTAATTACACCAGACTCAAATTAAGATGACAAAATACAGTGAAATTGGTGACATTACAATACTCACTTTACCAAGATCTTTATCAGACATGCTTTTCTTGCTTGATCCTGATTGTGATTTTTCCATTTGGTCATTCAACGTCTCTGTTTCCTTTGCTTTCGTGTGAGCAATTTTTTTAATCTGTAATCAGTGACATTTGCATTGATATAAATAAAGACACTCATCTGTAGCCTGGTATATTTAAATACTGCAATACTGTGTGTGGTAGGTGACAAGTATTACATTAACCTTTTCACCACCAGACTTTCTCGAACAAATTTGTCTGCACTTTTTTCTTATATATTCTTCAATATTTTTGGTAATGAAACCTAATTTTGGAGTCAATTTTGAAAATTTGAGTCAATTTTCAGTTTTTACTGAAAAAATATCCAATCTTCTGAAGGAAAGTGCAGATTATAATCAGGACTATTTTGTGAATATGTGAAAAGGTTAAAACAGACTTGCACTTATTACCAATTAGGGCCATGTAGAGGATTCTCAACTGAATGCATTGGGATGGATAAGCATTGAAAACAGACTTGTATTTTATATTACAATAGTACTAGTTATATATTGTGATTTATCTGTTTTGATTTATTGTTATTGCCTTTTGAGACAATCGCTATTTTTAGCTGAGCAAAGTCAAGATGCAAGCATGCATTTCTTACTGCATAGAATCTGCCAATTAAACCAATAATAAACTTCATTCTTCGATACAGAAAAGTTAAGTGGCCTCCTGAATGTTTATGTCATTGGTTTGAATGGTCAACCACTCTTTTTGAATGCTACAGCAAAACAAAATGACATGCATCGCTAACCCACCATGGGTGATCTTTCTGCCATGTTAGATTGAGATCACTCAGGCATGTTCTAGGAACAGACATTCAAGTATTTAATGTTTTAGGCACAAAATGGCTGCCAATCTACCAAACAGGATTATTACAGCACAACCACAAATAAGTATGTGCGCTTCACAAAAATCTGGGAAATCATCTTCTTTGCTCTGATACAAACACAATATTCGTTCAGCAATAAATATATAAATAGCATACACAAGAGGTCTTTGAGAAACAATAAAATTACTTGTTTAATGTATTACAGTACCTCGGTACTACCTCGGTAGTACATGTATTTGTTTCAAATGGCACCTCCAAGCATTTGATACACAAACAAGTAAACAAAAAATAAATCAGTGGCAGATGTATTTTAATAACTGTTGTAGCATATGAAGTATTTTCCCCATGGTTTTGGCAGGGCTTTGGTATTTAAGGAAATAAATTTCATTGTGATTCAATGAATAAACTAAAGTAACACAGCTGGGTTTGAACTTGTTGCTACTGTCTGTGGGTACTGTTTACATCTGATATGTTTTACTCGCTGTACCATGTTCAACAACAACAACATCAGTTCTATTTTTAGTAATACTCCTAACCATGACAAATGCTATAGTTGGAACCCTCTATTAGTTTGACATTTAGATTTTTGCTAAAAAAATATTATTTTATTTTACCTCCAGCAATTCAACCACCTGGCATTGAATGGTAACCCTGAAATATTAAACTTTTTTTTGTGTTTTTCTATTTTTTTTACATTTTTTGTTTGAAATCATTTTATGACTGAGTAAAACCCACCATTCAAAAATATAATTTCCTATTAAAAATTCACCCAACTTAATAAAATTATTTATATATTTGTCGAACTGGTGATTTTCTATTCACTACGAGATTTTGCGTCTTATGTAAAAAGTGCGAAACAAATGTCTACTGCAAATAAAAATTTCTTTATGCATAACTAAATGTCAAAATGAAGATCCTCAAATACCCCCAAAATATTTTTGAATCTCAGGTGATGTTTTGAGGTCACTGTGATTCTATGACCTTTGTTTGTCCTGTATTTACATTTGATTTCATGCATAGCGGTGAACAAAATCTAGCAGTGAACAAAAAATGTCAAAACATGTCAGCTTTTCAAAATGTTGATCAAAAATTGTTGCCAATAGGAAATTATGTATATTTGCTCTAAAACTATCAACAAAATATTGACAGAAAAATTATGGAACCCAAAGAATTATAATAATAGTAAAAAATAGAATCTGAAAAATGTTCATTTATTGCATTCATAACAAAAAGTAAAACAACATTACCGAGACAAGAATGATATATATTCTGAGCTTTATGAATATTTTACCACTCACCTTAGTGAGTTCCTGTTTTTTCTCATGTAGAAATTTGCTGGATTTCTCCACGCCATGTTCAACCTATAAAAATAAAGACAAATATGTTGGATGGTACAAATCATGACTATTTTCAAGACACAGATTAATTATTTGTCCTGAAAAGATTCATAATGTCTATCGCTACTTGGTTGAATATTTTATGGTATATCCAACTACTCTGTCATAACACGGTTGATTTAAAATCAAATTATATGCATACGGGTAGGATTTGTTTGTCTTCATTTCCAGTGATAGTATCTACAATTATATTCAATTGAATGACAAAAATGTTGCCTATTCAATTAAATATGCTAATGAGCTAATTAATATACAGATTTATCATGTAGACATTTAACTGTTCCGAAGCGCTTGGCATGCACCATGTTCCAGTTTATTTGAGCAAAAAATGCTGAAAAATTGTTACCGGTAATTAGGTATTCAAAATAATGCACAATTATATTTATAGACATTTAACTGCAGTTTCAATTCATTTTGAAAAAATAGTGATCAGATAAATAGCAATAATGTTCAAACATTATAATTATTATGCAAATTACCTAATTACTATGCACAAATTCATTATGTAATATCAAAGTCTGATTGAAATCAGCTGATGGAAATATTAAGGTAGAAGCATATAAACACCCATAATTTATTCATTTTGCAATATAATGCACTCTGTAGCAATATCAATAAATGTTGGGGTTACCAGCCTAATTATTGAGAAAAGATGGTTGTATTTTAGTGGATAGTGGCCATTTTGTCATTATTATAACCCTTTTACTATTACAAAATATTATGCCATATCTCAAATTGTCGACTGAAAAAAAAAATATATTGTGAATGACTTTTTGTTTTCCGAAATTATTTAAAAAGTGTCAACAAGATAATTTTTTTTTAGTTCTATGAACGTGTTCGAAAAATAAAGATTTTCTGTGGAGAGATAAACAAAAATGTGTACAAAGTGTCAGAAAGATGGGATGAAGCGTATTTACAGACCAAGCTAGTAATTACAAGAAATTTATAAATGTATTAAAATTAGGTGTCCTGCTTGATAAGTTCAAGGCTTCTTTTTATGATAAGGTACCAGTTATGACCATGAACTATAAAATGTACAAGTGATGTGATAGAGGTTGTGCACGTGACAGGATCACAATTACATGCCCATCACATCCATTCCTAGGAATTGGTAATTCACACCATATATTTTACATTGTTTAAATTCTGTTAATCAGCAAAAATAAAAATAACAAAAATATTTCTTAACAAAATATTTAGTGACACTTACATCTTTCTTGGCTTTGCTTTGTTCATCATTGAATATTTTCATCTGTTTAAAAACTTCATCTTTCAGTGACTGGCCTAAGTTGCTGAATCAGATAAAACAAATACAAGACATTTTAGCTAAATAATTTTGGATTTATTTTCTCAAATTTTTAATTCAATTTAAGACGTACCAATGTGTGTGTGTGTGTGTGTGTGTGTGTGTGTGTGTGTGTGAAAGGTCAAAGTTCATGTAGTGAAGCCTGAAAGTTTGGTAATTGTGGTGATATTATAGTGTTGAAAACATTGATAGTTTTACTGGAACATTTTCATCCTTGACTGCTTCATCAGGTTGCCACTGATTTACTCTTAGCTATACACACACACAATGACAATGGTTACCATAGAATCAATGTCCAATGTGAATATAGCCTTATATACATTACCTGTGCAATTGAGCTTCTGTCTCTAAGTGAGAACTGGTGGCAGACCAGGCTACAGCTAAAGATCTGTACACAAGAAAAAGTTCAATTAACTCAATGAACCTGACTTGTCCCTTTTATTCTTGAATACATTTGTTTACATATTTATTTACAAATTCCAGGTGTTTAATATTATTTAATATTATTATTAATATTTATTAAATTTTGCCATCAATCATTGTATCATTAAAAGTTAATTTGAGAAATTCATACATTTGAAAGAGTTTTAATTAAATTGTCGTGTTCAATATGAGTTTCTTAGCGACATATACAACACGCAAAAAATACATTATTTGTTTACGTAAAATTCAAACATGTGCTGCGCATCGACCGTAGTACTTTAAGAAATGTAACTAATGGTACATTATAGATAATAGAAAAATACCTAAATATGAACAAAATTTTGGCAGGAAAATTATGGTTAAAATTGCATGGTATTTTTTTTTTTTTTTGAATATTTTTGCAAGTGAGTGGAAACTGTATTCTTATGGAATTTCAGCAATAAACTGCCCACAGTGAATTGTACCTGGCTTCGACAGGAGGATATTTCTGAATTTAAACCCCAGATTTATGATTTAAGGTGTTTTTGACATGTGTGTATATTTAGTGCGATTAGCAGAGACAATATTTAATGTGAAATCTCTCTCACTTAGTACAGTGAACCTCCATATTTTAATTCAATTTTCTCCATTATTATAGTATCATACATGTCCAATAAAGCCAAATAATTTATTGTTGAGTAGAATTCTACATTATGGTAAGTCTTAGCAATTCAACTTACCAGTAATAATTTGAGGGATTTATCACAAATTTATATGAAAATGATTTCGACACCAGTCATCTCACAATACAAAATATTTCTTCAGAGGAAAACTGCCTGAAATGATGCTAAAAGGGACATTTTTGAAATAATTTCCATAAGATGCAATATTAAAGCATTACTTTATTTTACAAAATTAATAGTAATCATCAGAATGAGTGTCTCTTTTACTCCTACAAATGTTTTTTTTAAAAAGATTTTGACATATGATGAAAACTTTTTAACTTAGAAACCAATGGTAAATCAAAAATAATCCTTTTCATGGATGTCTGATCTGTGGTTTTTGTGAAAAGTAGTTAGGCCCCATTTTTATCTGAATTTTGTGAACAACAACTTAAAATAAAACTATAGTGTTAAAATCAAAAAAATCCTATCCTTTGTTTTAATGGTTGCCATGCAACCATTTTTGTACATACCAACATAAAACTGTTTCTGAATAAAATCACATTTTACTTCCTTGAATGACAATCAACTGTTATCAGTTCTCAACCAGGAACTAGTTATGATATGAGATTGACTCTCAAGTATGTACAAATAAGATTAATTTCAAAAGCCAAGGCAAAATATAACATATGATATTATAAATGTTGCTGTCTGGTGGCCCTATTTAAAAATCCTACATGGTTGGTGCGGTTGTTGGACAGATTTAAAAACCCAACATGGTTGGTGTGATTGGTGGACAGATTTAAAAACCCTACATGGTTGGTGTGATTGTTGGACAGATTTAAAAACCCTACATGGTTCGTGTGATTGGTGGACAGATTTAAAAACCCTACATGGTTGGTGTGATTGGTGAACTGATTTAAAAACCTTACATGGTTTATGTGATTGGTGAACTGATTTAATAACCCTACATAGTTGCTATTATTGGTGAACTGATTTAAAAACCCTACATGGTTGATGTGATTGGTGAACTGAATCAAAAACCCTACATGGTTTATGTGATTGGTGAACTGATTTAAAAACCTTACATGGTTTATGTGATTGGTGGACTGATTTAAAAACCCTACATGGTTGGTGTGATTGGTGGACTGAATTAAAAACCCTACATGGTTAATGTGATTGGTGGACTGATTTAAAAACCCTACATGGTTGATGTGATTGGTGGACTGATTTAAAATCCCACATGGTTGGTATGATTGGTGGACTGAATTAAAAACCTTACATGGTTGCTATTATTGGTGAACTGATTTAAAACCTACATGGTGATGTGATTGTTGGACAGATTTAAAAACCTACATGGTTGATGTGATTGTTGGACAGATTTAAAAACCCTACATGGTTGGTGTGATTGGTGGACTGAATTAAAAACCCTACATGGTTGATGTGATTGGCGAACTGAATCAAAAACCCTACATGGTTTATGTGATTGGTGAACTGATTTAAAAACCTTACATGGTTTATGTGATTGGTGGACTGATTTAAAAACCCTACATAGTTGGTATGATTGGTGGACTGAATTAAAAACCTTACATGGATTATGTGATTCATGAACTGATTTAAAAACCCTATATGGTTTATGTGATTGGTGGACTGATTTAAAAACCCTACATGGTTGGTGTGATTGGTGCACTGATTTAATAACCCTACATAGTTGGTATTATTGGTGGACAGATTAAAAACCCAGGCATGGTTAATGTGATTGGTGGACTGATTTAAAAACCCTATATGGTTGGTATGATTGATGGACAAATTTAAAAACCTGACATGGTTGGTATGATTGATGGACAAATTTAAAAACCTGACATGGTTAGTGTGATTGGTGGACAGATTTAAAAAACCCTACTCGTTGTAGGCATTTACTGTGAGAAATAATTTGCAAAACATTTGAAAGTTTGTGTTACACAGAATTATATATTTCAAACTATTAGGTGATTTCACTATGCAATTCACATCTTAGATATATATTTGGGTATTATTAGAATATCTCACTTAAAAACAAATTTTCTGTAGTTTCTCAGTGTTTGTTTCATGTGCATAGATCCTGTTTCACTTCATTTCATGGCGCTATCTGTTTGTTGGAAACTGTAAAACAGTGAAGTTCCACAACTAGTCCTTAAGGTAATGAGTATTGAAATCAAATAAAAGTAAATGTCCCTATTTTCAACATGTGCTTGTCCACTACACAATCTAAAGAAGTATATACTTACCCAATACAGTTGTTTGTCTGTTTTTTTCCTCTATTTGCTAATAGTAATAACTTTTTACCATAAGTAGATTCTATGTCAGCTCTATATTAAAATATAAACATAATTTTATGTTGGTCTTATTGGTTTTATATACGAGAAAATGTGATGGGGTCTGTTATAGTGTTGATTTACAGTGCAAAGTAAGATGAGACTACACTTGGCAAGTATGTGGATGATGTAATAAGAAAGTGCAAGTAAGATTAGATTATGAAAGAGCTTGAAAATAAGCTGATAACTGATGATGATCTCATTAAAATACCAAGCAGTTATATCGCTTCTGTGATGAAGTACCAATATACATGTTACAATGTAGCTATATATTTTTCCTTAGAGGTTGACTATGGGAAACACTGGACAAGAAGAGCAGTCTATGCTTTGTTTTGGTCAAGATTTTTTTAATGTACTGGGGAGGGGGGGTTTCTGTAGTTTTCATTGTAGAAATCCTCCGCTTCTCCTAATTTTTAACAATCAACCCCCTAAAATTTCATCATCGTTTTCATCATTGACGTTCCATTTAAATGTTCCAAAATTGAAGCCAAGTCAAGCACACATCTGATTTGTCATAACAGTTTGGGAAAATTGCTGAAAAATTTGAATTATAGTTTACATTGTTATAATTTCTGTAAGTTAAATACAGATACTAAGTTGTTGTAAAAAATTGTCTTCGTTTCAGTAGGGCGATCATAAGTTAGCATCTGTGTCTGCTGATGTCCAACAACAAAATTTTGTACCCAAAAATGCATCTCAGGACATTTCACAAGTTTATTTTGTACATTGAATTAGAATCTGAGTGTCTTTTATGAGAGAACTATGATAGTTTAAACAACATTGAGTTCATGTTCTTAGAAGTTTGCAGACATTTTTCTCCCAAATAGCAATATCGGTTGTCTTGTTTTTTCCCTGACCACTGCCAGTGGTAGTGTAAAGTGATACAGGAAGTTGTATAGTTTCATGCAGTTTTAATCTGAATATATTTTTTTATTTCAGTCTTTACATTCATACCAAATTCTGACAATGCTGTATAAATCAGGTAAATTTGTTACGAAAAAGAACATTACAGAAAACCTCTCAATTGATGGAATTGTCTTTAAACGAATATGTAATTTTATTCAAATTACAATCGTTGCAATATCGGCCATATTATAATTCCCTTAAATTTTTTACCAAGACACGCGCATCCTAACAAAAGAACCGAAAGAGTTTCCTAACCGTTCTTCTAGTAACCATGGTCCAGATTAACATGAATTCAACTGCTATAATCCCTATGCAGACATGAAGGATTAAAAACATTTGATACGTGCTGAGATCTCATAATGTGAATGTAGCTAATGATTTTGCTTTTTAGTAAGTTTGAAACTTGTATACATGGCAACCTCGTGATATGATAATTTTGTTAATTTGCTAATAATGTTTGTCTCGCTTTAACAAGATTTTTATAGCAACAAAGACAATGATCCTATTAACTGTCTCTCAGATTGATGAACTTACCGTTCTTGGAATATTGAGGCAACTTCTTTACAAAAATCTGTCCCTGTTTTCATGTACCGTCTCAGTTCTTCAAATCCGTGAACGCTCTGAAATTGCCCAAAATGCAGTCATGTGATTTTAATACTTTAAGTTAGTTAAAAACATTAAGATGTTAGCCCAAAAATGTACTGATTCCGAGCCAAGATCTTTTAAGGTAGAAGTCTACTGGTTTATCATGTTAAATCATGAAGCTAATGTCCCATGACACCATGAAATAGCATTCTTTTGTGTGTTACAGTGACATATTTTGAGAAACTTGTTCTAATATTTTTTAAAATCACAGTTTTTAAAAAAATTTCATAGAGGACAATGTTTACACATTTTCAAACCCAGATTTTTAAAATAATTTAATAAATAACAAATTTAACAAAAAGTACCTCATCATTCACAATATATAATTTTTTTAACTCATAAATGTCAACAGACTATAACTTGAGATATGGCATAATATCTCTGCTATAGGAACCGATGGTTATGCATTATTAGGCTGCCAAAAGGCACTATTCACTAAAACAAAACCATAATTTTCTCGAAAATTATGATGGTGACCTCCCAATTTTTTTTTGTCAATAATACTGGGTATTTGCATTTATGAGTAGGCTTCTACCTTAAATGAAATGGTACATGTAGGCAGGCAGTTATGGCAAGTGTTTTACATTTATAATAATAAAATATTTATTGCATTTCAAGGCCTGCCTGGTCACAATTTGTCACATAGAAGTGGACAATATGTTTACAGAGAGCTTAATATGTTGAATTATTGAAATACTATAGTTGCTAGTATGAATGCTTTATGTACAAAAGGTGAAAAGGTTAATCAGGACAGTGGCATCAAAGTATCCGCTTGGAACATGTTCAATAGTCTACGAATGATCAAGTCAAATGCAGTAATTCATAAATGATATCCCGCATTATACAACTTTCACATCTACTAACACTACTTTTACATGTGACAAATAAAATAAATTGCATGTTTTCGGCAACAATGAAAACAAAATATTGGTAGGTTTCAAACCCCCTGCACACATACGTTGAAATTGACAATACCCTGAACATGTAGGTTGAAATTGACAACACCCTGAACATGTACGTTGAAATTGACAACACCCTGAACATGTACGTTGAAATTGACAACACCCTGAACATGTACGTTGAAATTGACAATACCCTGAACATGTACGTTGAAATTGACAACACCCTGAACATGTACGTTGAAATTGACAACACCCTGAACATGTACGTTGAAATGACAACACCTG